AAACCAGCCTTAGGCATTCTTAACTGAAACCTTTTCATGAAAGAGGCCATTTTGTGTTTACTGACATAAATATTGTCTTTCTTATTTCATTTTGCAAACCAATAATTTAATATCAATAAACCAGAGAATTCTCCGAAATGTAGCTTTCAGATGCTTTTATGGCTTTACCCCTACACTAAAGTTAAAAGTTCCCTTTTAAAGATTTCAATATCATGTCAAATGTGCAGGCCAAGGATTCTGATATTTGGCCTTCAACTCGTATTGTTGTGTAAACAGAAAGAAGTAGGAATTTTGAATTTTGTTTTTTACTTTTATCCTTAGCATTTTTCTTAGGACATGGAGAAGACAAAACTTTCAAGTTAGATTTAGTTAAACTGAATTATCAATCGTCATCATACGTAAGAGTCCCATGATATCATTCGCCAGAAACATTGCCATGCCTGTATAAATCTGTGGCATGAACTCCTCAATGTTGTGTTTTTTGAATGCATATATCAGTCACTCAAATTTGGATGGATCATGCCTTATGCTGACAAGCTGTTATAAGAAAAGGAATTAATTTTTTTTTCCCAAATATTTTATATTTTAAGGCTTTGTGAATGGATCATGCCTGAAATACAGACCTTTATCTGACATACAGCACTCCCATGGCATTCCTAATGCCCTCAAAAGTACCAATGAGATATTAGATAACCCCAAAGTTGGTTTTTCTCTCTCTGCAAAGGACTTTCCGGATACCTTGAAAGAAGTTACTTCAATGTAATTTCTCATCTTGGAATGACCTAAATTTGTTCTTTTCTTTACTTTTCTATTGGTCTGCAGATGCTAAACCTGAATTTTTAACAAATTTACCTTTTCTTCTTAAACTTTCATGTGATGGAACACACCTTTTCCCATCATTTGTGACATTAACAAGAAAAGATGGTTAGAGCTGCTTCATATTTGATTTTGCACATATTTAGTTTCTTCCCTAAATGTGGATCTTCCAGATGATTAAAGTATTTGGCTTTGTCAGTACATAAACAGCATGCATTAACGCTGACATCAAATACTTATTTGGACTTAAGATTTTTAAGAAGTAGGTTTAGTTCTCAACAGAGATGTAATAATTGAACCCACACAATGAAACTGATATATAATACTGAAATGCAGAATGCTATTGACCTAGTCTTTCTCTTAAAACCGTATTAGTTTTAGAAGGATGTGAACTTCTTCTGAATTCATAAGATCAGGACTTTACAAGGATCGCTTAGAAAGAATCAGTAAACTGGAGAGGACAAATTCCCAGGACTACGCTACAATTCTTTGAGAGGCAATGGAAGTAACTTGCAACTTTGAGGAAGAATCACTCATAATCTGACATCCATAATCTATAGAATGCAAAATACGGGCAACTAAGAATGCAGCTTAGCAGCACAGTTAAGTACAATTGTTCCAAGTGTGATTTTTCCCTGGATTCTAACAGCAAGCATAACCTATTAAGATTGGTGTCGGTTATTCCTAAGAAATTTCTTATTCTGTAGCTGTCAAAGAATATCTCAAGAGAATGCATTATAGCTATAGGTAACAGCACAGAACTAAGGAGCTCCTGATCCTCAGGTTTCATTTTCCACCCAGTTGAAAATTTTGTGTGGGTGAATTTACCCCAATATTTTCTCCATTGCATGAAAATGGATGAGTAATTACCATGTGAAAGAAAAAATAAAAATAAAAAAGGGAAAAAATGAAGACAACGTGTGATATATTAAAAGCCAGAAATCAGAACACTTACTGGTATATATAAATTAATAATATGGTGGTCACTTCTAGATAATCATGAGTAAATAAATTCCAAATGTAATGCTTAAAAATATCTTCCCCCTTTCACACTAGAATTAATGGAAGCAACAGCGAGCATGCCATCCAGTCTTCCCCTCCTCCCACCAGGATTCCGGTTTCATCCTACAGATGAGGAGCTCATCATCCATTACCTTAAGCAGAAAGTCTCCTCCTTAAATCCCCTTGTTTCGATCATTGCTGATGTTAATATCTACAAGTTCAATCCATGGGAGCTTCCTGGTATTCTCTTCTCATCCAAGCAGTATCTTACACAAGAAGAAAGAAAAGGAAAGATGCTTGTGTAGTTATGTTCATGCTTTTTTTTATCCTTTTGCAGAGAAGGCCAATTTTGGGGACACAGAGTGGTTTTTCTTTAGTCCAAGAGACCGGAAGTATCCCAAAGGAGGGCGTCCAAACAGGGCAGCTGCCTCTGGTTACTGGAAAGCCACCGGAACTGATAAACCAATCCTCTCCTCCACTGGAACACAGTGTCTTGGGGTGAAGAAAGCCCTTGTGTTCTACAAGGGTAGGCCTCCAAAAGGTGAAAAAACCAATTGGATGATGATGGAATACCGGCTTCTTGATGATTCCCTTCAGTCTCCTAGGCTTAGGGGATCCATGAGAGTAAGTTTCAATCACATTTACTTCTTTAAATAATTAAGGACAAAGAACAAATTAAAGGGAAAATAGGGTGAGATTCTGAAGAAATAGATGCCAACCTGGTTTGACCATCTGAGGAAGCAATAAGAAATTTGCAAGAAAATTCATTGTTGTCATCTCCTGTTTTCCTCTTTTTACAGTTGGATGATTGGGTTTTATGCCGAGTTTGTCAGAGACTGAATCAGATTGCCCAACAGACAGGAGGAGGAATCTATGACAGCAGTTGCAGCAACTCCCCTTCATCAATCTACCAAAGCAGTTTAGAAAATTCTCCTGCATCTACCATTCTGGGGTCCTTACAGGGTCAAGAGGTACCGGATAACAATATCCTGAAGTTCTATGAATATGAGCTGCAGCATTCCATGATGGCTCCCCTGGAAAGTGAAGATGAACAAGGGCTAGGAGAAATTTTCCAGGAATGCTCTCCAGAGTACCCCGATTCAGCTATGGCGAGTTCATCTAATTCTGTCAAAAACGTGCTGAAATCCATTGAAAGGGCACTTTCAGTTGGAAGTCTGGACGATTTGGTCCATCCCAAGAAGAGATTGAATGCAACTGCAACAAGTAACAGAGACAACATGTGCAATGGTTTCGAGATTCCACCGAACACTCCAACAACAAACATGCCGTGTTTCTCTTTGAGTTGATACAGACAGAATTGCATTGGCATTTTAAGGTTTCATGTAATATCAAATGACAAAATAATGATTGAACTCATCAACCAAAACATGAATTTTCATGGACAAAGAGAATAAAAGATTTCGTTAGCTAATATTGATGCCTTTTTGAGCCAGGAATTATTGTGGAGGATCTAATCAACCCATGCAAGCTAAGTGTTGGCCTTACCAACTCAGCCAATCACCTGGTACAGCTTTTTTTTAATTAAATAGTTATAGATATTAAATCAATGTAATATCTAATATGCACATTCTGTTGAAATTATTCAATTAAATTCATGTTTCAAAATTTTAAAAAATTATGGAAATGTGTAAGATATATATATATATATTATTCTTATGTAATGTTTTGGAATATCATAATCTTATACAAAACATATATGAATTATTGGACAGGGGTTGTGCCCTTAGTATTAAAGGGTTTGTCATAATTTAATAATTTAAATCGTACAATTTAAAATATAACACTTTTTTTTTTGGTGTTCTATATATTTATGTAAAAGTTGTTGTTGTTTTGTTTTGTTTTTTTTTTTTTTTAATTATTTAGGCTACGTTCAATATGATTATGGTTTTGGGTTTTTGAATTTGAATTTGATTTTTATATATTTGTTAACTCTGAAAAAAAACACTCATCTACTTTAACGTGTTTTTGCCGATGTATTATTATAATTATTAAAGAAATAACCATAAAAATAATTTTAATACTATTAAACAAGTAAATATGGTTAGTTGTAAATGTTAAAATTTGTTTTAAACAAGTTTTTAATTTTAGTTTTTAGTAAATTTAAAATTTTTTAAAATTAAAATTCAAAATCACAATTATATTAAATGAACCCTTAATTTTTTAATATAATTTAACAAAAAAATACTATATAGTCTAAATGGCACAATTAGACGCATAAGATGGAGTGAGTTTTTTGATATTTGTGATTATTATTCTCTATTTAATGATTTTTGTTTTGTAATTTAGTATAATCTAAACTATATAAAAAAGCATTTATATTTTAATACATATTAAAAAAAATCTATTTACATATAAATCTTATCTAATTCACTTATATAACATGTTAACAATTTATTTCTTCATTTTCATCAGTTAAAATTTGTCATATTTTTTAAATAAAAAATAATTATTTTTAATAAATATAAATAAATTTTAACCATTAAAAAATAAAAAAATATAGATATAATTATAAAATTTATGTATAAATACAACACAAATCCTAAGAAAAGTAAAAAATAAAAAGAAAAAGAAAAGAAAAAAAAGGAAAGCAGAGTAGCAGAGTCAAGCGGGTAGCTTTATTACCACGCTGAAAATGACCAGTAATGCCCTTGTCGAACAGCCAACACCTCCGCAAAAAGCCATGTCTGTTTAAGTAATTTCATTCTCCCGACGGAGCGGCACGCTATAAAGGTCAAAAAGGTCGCGTCCTCAGTCACTCGGCTTTCCCTCCCCAATTTTAAACCACTGTCTTTCTGGAAGGAGAAAAAAGGGAAGGGACGAAGAAAATTAGCCAAAGAAAGATCGAAGCTTGGATAACCCAAAAGCTCCAAGATTACAGAATCTGGAACTAACATAGCGAAGATGTTGAAGATTTTTGGCCGAGGTAAGGATACCTCCGATTTGTCGCCGCAATCCTTCTCTTATTCTTCGTCTTCGTCGTCGTCGGCGACTCCGGTGACCGGTCCCGCGAGGCCGATTCGTCTGATCTATTGCGACGAAAGTGGGAAGTTCCGGATGGATCCAGAAGCGGTTGCGACTCTACAACTCGTCAAGGAACCCATTGGGATCGTTTCCGTCTGTGGCCGTGCGCGGCAGGGCAAGAGCTTTATTTTGAACCAGGTAAAGTTTTGATTTTGTTATTTTTTTATGGTTATTTTGAGGGTGTATTGAGGAGGAGTTATTATCTTTCTAGGTTTTTATTTGTTTTAGGTGGGTGAAATTGTGAACTCTAGGGTTTGTAACTTTAGGGGTTCTCTATGCGGTGATTTTAGGGTTTCGGATAGAGAAAGCTTGTAAATTGGGGTTAAAACGTTAGTTTCTGTTGCATAAATTTTTGTATTGGGAATGTCAATTTCGTGGTTTGTATAGGAAGATTATTCGAAATCAAATTTAGGCTCACATGCATTATTGATTGGAGGGAAGAAAGTAATGAGGCTGCTTTTTTAGTATGTGGTGATGTTAAATTTGTGGAGCTTACTTAGATATGGAGTCACTTTGAGGCAAGGATACATGTGCATGCTGAAAAAGAATATCAGAAAAAGTAGTGGTAAGCTTGATGCTGGGTTAGGGGAGCAAAATGTGGAACTTAAAGGATGTCCAGTTAACTGCAAGAAGGTCATGTGTGATAAAGCTTTCCTCTTGATTCAAAAGACTGAGTAGCATTGACTGACAAGTCGCCTATTTCCTTTTTTGGTAAATCTAGTGATGGGCTATAAGCAATAGGGAATAGCCCTTTCCTTCCCCAACCCATTCCCCCACCCGTCTCAAGGTTCACTTGAGACCTCTAACTTAGAGTCTCAAGTTCTCATCCTTTTAGACATCCCTTTGGGTTGCCAAGTTGCCTTTGGTATTGAGAGTAATAGTTGTTTATCTATTAGTCACTAAGTCTCATACTTGCTTATTGTACTGTTTTATCTAGAATTAAGACTATTTTGCATTTATTTGTTGTAGCTTCTTGGAAGGAGCAGTGGATTTCAAGTTGCATCAACTCATCGACCTTGTACAAAAGGGCTTTGGTTGTGGAGTGCACCTATAAAGAGAACTGCTCTTGATGGAACTGAGTACAATCTTTTACTTTTAGACAGTGAAGGAATAGATGCCTATGATCAAACGGTTTGTTTTCTTATTCCCTATGGGAAAGAAATGGTGATGATTTGTTTTATCTTGTTCTTTATAATTGGTTGTGTTGGCAATGCACTTACTATGTGAAGTTTTGAAACTAATTGACAGGGAACATACAGCACTCAGATATTTTCCTTAGCTGTCCTCTTGTCTAGCATGTTCATTTACAACCAGGTCCGTACCTTTTCTTTGGGGACCTTGTTTTTTCTGAAGTGCTTGTTATTCTGATTGAAATTTAAAATTTTTTCCCATTTTGGGGCTTGGTGCACTTATTGGAATTTACATTTTGTACTTTGATAACATTATTACCTTCTTCCACAAATTACCCTATATTTCTGAAAAAAGCTTTCCGTATTCATTTTTAACCTTTTATTTATTTATTTGTGTAGATGGGAGGTATAGATGAAGCAGCCCTAGATCGTCTCTCTCTTGTCACTCAAATGACAAAACATATTCGAGTGAAAGCTGGAGGGAGGACCACAGCTTCTGAACTTGGACAATTCTCTCCAATTTTTGTTTGGCTCCTTAGGGTAATTTATCTATCTTCTTATTGTTGTTTTGTTTATTTGTTTCATGAATATGTCTCAATCTGGCTAATTTATTACAACATACCTGGGGCACTACTTCTTTGTATAAACACACATTTTATTTTATTTTTTCAGGATTTCTACTTGGATTTAGTTGAGGACAATAGGAAAATTACCCCTCGTGACTACCTAGAGATTGCTTTACGTCCAGTTCAAGGTAGTGGAAAAGATATAGCTGCAAAAAATGAGGTAATGTTTTGATGGATTCTGGTGGAGAGAAATGATTTAGATTAGATGTTGATAAGCTCCTATTATTTAAATTATCTGGCTCATTTGGAAATAAATTATTGAAATTTTATGTGTGTGTGTGTATGTGTACTATGTTTGTATGTTAGAGAAACTAATTTTATGTGAATAATGATTGATAGATCCGAGACTCAATTAGAGCTCTATTTCCTGATAGAGAATGCTTCACCCTTGTGAGACCTGTTAACAATGAAAAGGAGCTGCAAATGCTTGAGCAACTTCCGGTCAGTATCTAGTTACTATTTTCTTATACACTTTTCTCATACACTATTTACCATTCTCTCTCTCTCCCCCTTTCTCTTATATTCGTTTTTTAGTGTATCAGCCTTGGTTTTTTCATGCAGATGGACAGATTGAGATCTGAGTTTAGAGCTGGGCTCGATGCATTGACCAAATTTGTTTTTGAGAGAACAAGGCCAAAGCAGGTTGGGGCTACAGTAATGACAGGTCCTGTTCTTGTTGGTATCATCCAGTCTTATCTAGATGCTCTTAATAACGGTGCAGTTCCTACGATATCCTCCTCATGGCAGGTTAGTTTTTCTTCTTATCTCCTTTCTCTAGTAATGATACTTGCCTTTACCTTTTTTTTAGCAGATATTTAAAAATGCAGATATGATGGAAAATAATTCAGTGGATAATTTTAAAACCGATGGTTTTTGGTACTAAATGTTAATAATTGTTCAGGTGTTTCAGTTGATTCATGGCTGTAACTGCTTGGAGTATTTGTTTTCATAATAACATCTTTGATTCCATTTTTTACATTGAAACGAAAATATGCAATTTTCAGCTCATCTCCTATCATGGTTATCCCATCCTAGAAAGTTTTCAGGGTAGCCAGCTTGAGATAGAAAGGTCTTCCAGCACTCAGTGATTGGCATTTACTTTATCTGATGTTTGGGTTGAGGGTAATGGAGGGGAGGGGAAGATTTTTTGACCAATCAAATTATAAAGTTGATTGCATGCATTTAGGCATGCTTATTCATTCATAATTGAAGAGATGCTAGGTGATATCATTAAACCGGGAAAGGGGACTACTGAAACTTGATGTTCTAAAATTTTAAGTAAAAATTTAAAGTATCACAAATATAAAATAAAAAGGTTGCTCTTTCTTCCTTTCACAATTCTTACACTTATGTTCATGTCAGAGTGTTGAAGAAACTGATAAGTGAAATTTTAAAGTATCACAAATATAAAATAAAAAGGTTGCTCTTTCTTCTTTCTACAATTCTTACACTTATGTTCATGTCAGAGTGTTGAAGAAACTGAGTGTCAAAGGGCATACGAATCTGCTTCAGAGACTTACAGGTCCACTTTTGACAGTAAAACGCCACCTGAAGAAGTAAGTAATGCTTTCACCTAATTGTTTATTTGATTTTCAATTTATCTTTTTCTAATTTCATTTGTCTTTAGGTTGCACTGAGAGAGGCTCATGAAGAAGCAGTTAAAAAATCACTGGCCATATACAATGCTATTGCTGTAGGGGTTGGTTCAGCCAGGAAGAAATATGAAGAGCGCCTTCAGAAATTTTTCAGCAAGAGTTTTGAGGTTCCATTTTGTGAAATGTTTGTTTATTTTAGTTATTAGTTGCACTGAGGATGCCTCCAATTGTGTTGGGTTTAAAATTTTTATTTATGTAAAAAAATTCATGCATTTGTCAATTTATTGAATGACATAAATTGTGTATTCGTTGATGTTTTTGACATGATAATTTTAATTTGGATCTCTTATTTATGCAGGATTATAAAAGAAATGCCTTTATGGAGGCAGATTTACAATGTTCAAGTGCCATACAGACTATGGAGAAGAGGCTAAGAGCAGCTTGTCATGCTTCTGATGCAACCATAGATAATGTTGTGAGGGTAAGGATTCTTCTGTCTCACTTATAGGTATCCTCATTCTTCATGTGAAGGGCCTGTTCCACATGATTTTTTTCCTATGATTCTGTTTCGCCTTTGATATCAATTTTCAAAAATTCAGATTTTACAGAATGAATGGTCTATGGAGCTACTGTCATTTCTATCTGGTATTCTAGCATCTCCATTACTCATTAAGATACCTTTCACTGTATTGGGTTTGATCATGACATGCAGGTTCTTGATGCTCTTCTGTCAGAGTATGAAGCATCATGCCGTGGCCCAGTGAAGTGGCAGAAATTGGCTTTGTTTTTACAAAGAAGGTTTCAACCACTATTTTTCATCTCCATTTGTTGGGGCTTTGTATGACATGGGGTGGGTGAATGGGCTTCAATTTGTTCTTCTGATGTTAACTTACCTTTCTATTCTGTAAATCACCCAGTTTGGAAGGGCCAATGCTAGACTTGACCAAGAGACTTATAGATCAGATTGGATCAGCGAAGAGTTCCCTGATGTTGAAATGCCGCTCAATTGAGGATAAGATGAAGTTGCTCAACAAGCAACTGGAAGATAGTGAGAAATATAAATCTGAATATCTGAAGCGTTATGATGATGCTATCAATGACAAGAAGAAATTGGCAGATGAATATACAAGCAGAATAAATAATCTGCAGGGTGATAACAGTTCACTGAAGGAGAGATGTTCAAGTTTAATGAAAGCCCTGGATTCTGCCAAGCAAGAAGTGTCAGACTGGAGAAGGAAATATGATCAGGTTTTGTCAAAACAGAAAGCAAAGGAGGACCAGGCCTCTTCAGAAATTGAAGTTCTTAAGTCCAGGAGCACTGCTGCTGAAGCAAGGCTGGCTGCTGCTAAGGAGCAAGCTCAGTCTGCTCAAGAGGAGGCAGAGGAGTGGAAAAGGAAGTATGATTATGCTGTCAGAGAAGCGAAAGCTGCTCTAGAGAAGGCAGCAACCGTGCAGGACCGTCGAGGTAAGGACACTCAGCTGAGGGAAGATGCTCTAAGGAAGGAATTTGCAGATACCTTGGCTGATAAGGTGCAAACTCTCTCTCTCTCTTTGACACACATATTTGTGTGTGTGTATATATATATATTTAGTGGATGCATATATCTATAGGAAAATTAATATGTTGAAAGGAAATTTTACTTATGTGTTAATGAACACACAGGAAGAGGAAATAAAGGACAAATCAGCGAAGATTGAGTATGCAGAGCAGTGTTTGACAACTCTGAAATTAGAGTTAAAGGTAAGGTTTTTTATAATGCTCTCTCTATATGTGCATGTACGATAAGCTGTATAGTGATTTTCTATTACCAAAAAGAAGCTATACAATAGTTTCCGATGATTATAATTCTGAGTGGCTTCAAAGGCTGTCATTCTATCCTGCGATTGTTAAATCCATTTGCATATTTTAGGCAATTGTATGAATAATGTGATGTTGACTGGCAAGTACTTTGCAGGCTGCAGAGTCAAAAGTCAAGAGCTATGATACTGAGATATCATCTCTGAAGCATGAAATCAAAGAGTTGGCTGAGAAGTTAGAACATGCTAATGACAAGGCCCAGTCATTTGAGAGAGATGCAAAGATACTGGAGCAGGAGAAGATTCATTTGGAGCAGAAGTACCAATCTGAGTTCAGAAGGTTTGAGGAACTTGAGGAAAGATGTAAACAAGCTGAGAAAGAAGCAAAGAAAGCGATTGAACTGGCTGATAAAGCACGAGCAGAGTCAGTCACTGCTCAGAAAGAGAAGAGTGAGTTACAAAGGATAGCAATGGAAAGATTGGCTCACATTGAGAGGGCTGGGAGGCAAATTGAGAACTTGGAGAGACAGAAAACAGACTTGGGGGATGAGGTACACAGACTCCGTCTATCAGAAATGGAAGCTGTTTCTAAAGTGGCATTATTGGAGGCAAGAGTCGAGGAGAGAGAGAAAGAAATAGAGTCGCTATTGAAAAAGAACAATGAACAGAGGGCCAGTACAGTTAAAGCCCTTCAAGATCTTTTGGACTCTGAACGTGTGGCCCATACTGATGCAAATGACAGGGCTGAAGCTCTATCTTTTCAACTACAAGCTACACAGGCAAAACTTGATGCACTCCAGCAAGAGTTGACATCAGTTCGTCTAAATGAAACAGCTTTAGATAGTAAGCTCAAGACTGCTTCACATGGGAAACGTTTAAGAGCAGAGGAGACTGACATGGATACAAGTGATAAAATTTTAAGAGTAAATAAGAAATCCAGAAGCACGACTAGTCCTCTCATCTATACTCAGCCTGAAGATGGTGGATCAGTGTTTAAAGGTGATGAGGATAACCAGAGTCAGCACAACAGTCAGGAGGACTATACAAAATTCACTGTCCAGAAACTTAAGCAGGAACTCACAAAACATAATTTTGGTGCCGAGCTGCTTGCATTGAGGAATCCTAATAAAAGGGAAATCCTTGCCCTTTATGAGAAATGTGTTCTCCAGAAGTCATAACCGTTTTTCTTAAATGACGTGTATAGGGAAGGTGAAGTGAATGTACCCTACTAGAAGGCTAGTGGATAGATTTATTGGAATAGAAGTTTTAAGTTCTTTCAGGAGTTGGAAAACCTAAAGATAGATTCTGTTGTTAAGTTTGCAGTACTTAAAAGCGCAGAAGGTCTCTTTCCTTTCCACTGAAGAAAATCCTTAGGTCAATTAAGATTTCTGTGTTTCACCGAGTTTCCCCTTTCTTGTGTGGACATTTCAATATGAATTCGGTCTAGGTGGGCTTTGTAGAGAAATGTGAATGTTTTGATTGTAATTTTCACCCTGTTTTTCTGCTTGTACCTGCTTGATCCTGTTATCTTTGCCTGGGATGGATTTGGCGTGCCCTTGTTAAGCTTTAGAACCTTTTTCTATAAGAAAAGTTTATCCATTATGGGTTCTTAGCGAGACAACTAATATTTGATTTTTTATTTTCAGTTATATATTTTTATTTTTATTTTTATTCTTGCCAAGACAACAAATATTTGATGGGTAGTGTTATCTTCTCTGTTATAAGAACTTAAAATAGATTGTCCTAAAATCATTGGAATTAAGACATGGTTAAGTTTTTGCATTAAAAAAAAAAAAAAAAAAAAAGAACAAGGAGAAGAAAGAAGAAGACATGGTTAGGTTTGGCACCACGTCAATTAAATATGACAATTCACAAATGGCCAGTGGATTTTGTTTTTGACCATTTTTACCGACTCCTTTGCTTACAAGTTTCCTAACTTCTTGGATGCCTGGTGTTTCTCTCAAATGTAGAATTGTAGACTAAACGGAGGCTATATCTTCTGTTCTTAAAATGGAATTTTTTATGTTGACTATTAGTTATTCCAATTTTTCATTTATTTGAGCTCTAGTCTTCTAGAACTTTCCAAGTTGTATTCCAAAGGAGAATCGTTGTATCCGTTGGTCCTCTGAGTTAGGACCCACCAATAGACCTCAATCAGTAGAAGACTTCTCCCTTTTGGTAGGAGTAGAGACTTCTCCACCACGTTAAGATATAATATACACATGCAAAAATAAAAATTAACTATATATGCTTCGTAGGATATGTATTCTGAGGTCTAGAATCAAAAACTTGGTTGACAAGTCTGTTCGTTTCAAACCAATATCCACTTTTTTTCCCAAAATATTGAATGTAATGTGTGAAGAAATTTTTTTATTTTAAAATAATTTATTTTATATTAAAAAGTTAAATGTAATATGCAAAGAAAATTCTTTTATCTTGAAATGATATATTTTATATCAAAAGTGAGATAATTAAATATAATATAAAAATATATGAAAGTGAATATTTTGATCATTACCAGACAAAGTAATCTAATTGTTTTCTTCCATTTAATCGATCATATGCTAACTTTAATTAGAAGTGTTGGGTTTGAATTAGGACACAACTGAGCACGAGAATATTGAAAATAGTGGGGTGGGTGGGAATTAATATTCTGCATTGTAACTATTTTGACATATTTTGTTTCTTTTTTTAAAAAATTATGTATTTCTGTTTTAACAATGGGTAAAGAGTGTAACCATGCATGACAAGGCCTTAATTTGACAAAGTAAAAAGGCATGCACAAACGATGAAAGCAAAGTAGCAAACAACATAAAATGAATCCTGATAGAATTATATATGGTATTTAATAGTTTTACAAATGCCATGAGTTTTGAATTGAAAAATAGACGGAACATAATTATAATAAAACCTACAACTAGAGAAGAAGTTTATAGAGCCACCTTAACACAATTCAGCTATATGCTATAATGAAATGGAACATGTTTAGAAATAACATAAAAGAAAGCAACATATTTCAAAAAGAAAAAAAAATTACGTAAATGGGAGAAAAATTAGGGCATCAGCTCTTCCATTCCTTCTCTTCAGAAAACTACCGAGCGAGATCAACCTTATGGTATTGCAAGTCCTTCATCTCAGAGCATCTGCATCTCCATCTTCACCTTAAAAAGGAAAGACATTCCTCTTATTCCTCATTCCTCTTCCCACATAAAAAAAAAAATATACCTTCTAATTTACCAATAATTTACGAAGCTGATTATTACACTACAACAGCTTCAACAACACCATCCCAACAAATGCTCTCATCTTTCCCTATTTCCTCACAACCTTCTCTTTGCTTGTATCGGGGGTTAATCGAATAAATGAAGATCCATCATCTTGAACAACCAAATTCGGAATCAACTGAGGTGGGCTTTCTCTATTATGGTGAACCTCATATGAAATAAACGGATTATTATTATTATTGTAATTATACTCAACAAGACCTGTATGAGTGCTACTTCCATGACCACCCTTCAACTTGTTCGGGATTGAGTCTTTAATGCTGGAGCCACACTGTCGCGGTTGTGTCTGGTAGAACACTTTTGACACCACCAACTCACCGTCTTTCTCCTCTTCATTGTTGCCTAGATGGTACTGGTGCATCACCCAGTTTGTTTTTTCTGGTTTTCTTTGCCTGCCATAGTTGGTGTAGAGCACCAGAATTTTTTTGTAACCTTTCACCGTGCCACCGATGAGTACAGGTCGGGTCTTGCCTGTTTTGTGCCACCTTGTTTCGCTTCCATCCTCGTCTGTGTGCACCTTTCTTCTCTTCCTTGTTCCTGTTGTGTATGCCTTTGAAGGTCGGTGGAAGAAGTGTCGAATTTGACCGTCTTTGCTTACTCCTGCAAGAGATTTAATTTTATGTTCATCAGTTTTAACAAGCCGCAGCTTCAGATTGCAAGCTGTTTATGGAAAACATATGCTTAGACATATATGCACTGGGGTTGCTATAATTGATCTAAATCCACAATATACCTGTAAGTCTTACATTAATTACCTACAATGATGGTATTATATTTTATAAATGATAACTAGTAATTCTCGTTTCAAAATAATTATCATTTTTATAAGTAATCCTAACTCTGCTTATGAAGATTAAACCTCTTGGTCTCTAGCTGACCATGTGTATATATTCTTTTTATATATATTGGAGCACAAGATCAGCACAGAAACAATTCCAAACCCTAGTTTCTTTTATTAAAAAAATAGAGTATAATTTTGAGCGTCAAGATCAAGGTATATATCAGTATTTAATATAGAATTAATATATTATTATTACCTGGTAGCTTCTCTGGATGAGTGTAGCAAATTCCATTTTCTCCTTCCAGTGTAGGAATAAATTCATCAATTAAAGGATGAAGTTTCCGAATGTCTGATATTACTTTTGCCTCTAAATGCTCCAGAATTTCTTGATCCGTCGGATCAAACTTCACTCCGGCCGGTAATCCGGGTAGATCATGAATTCCCGACTGATCTCCCATAAATCATTATATTTATCACCCAAAAAAAACTCAATTTTAGAAAAAAAAAAAAAAAATTTATAAAACACTTAGTTATGTACCTGCTCTTGGTAGGGCGTGCTATGGCCGCAGGAAGGGCAAGTAATGGTTCTGATTTCATCAACTGCGTCGGCCGCCGCAGTGACTAACTGCATGGTTCTATCATGGTCGGAGTCAATATTGCACCATGTCATGTCTCCTCTTTTCCTCTTACTCCCATCCCAAAGAGGAATCTCACCGCCGCCTCCCTCCACTTCTCCGACCAACACAGAATTCTAACAAGATTGCAAATAAAAAGGAACAAAAGAAAAACTTGTCTTCGCTACGACCCCCGACAGCACCTTTTGCAGGATTGTTGTCGGTCCAAGAATTAATTAAATTCTTGCCCTTTTTCCTATGATTGATCAACTATATACCATGTCATATAATACCAACTATAGCTGGTTTTTGACGCAGAAGAGGAGGAAGAAGAAGATGGAGAGAGGTGACAGGAAGAGTATAAAGGAATGACAAGAAATAAGAAACAGGGCAATAAAAAAATATTAGAATTTAATCTTTTTTAAAAAAAGGAGTTGCTTGGACGTTACGTTTGGCAATGCTAATGTATGTAACGATGTATCCGAGAATAAATGTGGATGCAGTCTCCGTCTGGTATTTTTAACTACTTAATTAAGAAAAAGATTAAAAACTTAACTATAAAAATATGTTCTATTTGAAAAAATAAAATAAAGAAAAAGAGAAGGATGAGTTTTTTAATTAATTATTAAATTATAATGTTTTTAAATATTATAATTTAAAATTTTTATCCATTTCCTCGAATACATATATCTTTTAATAATTACTACTATTATTCTTATTAGTAATTAATTAATTATTTTATTTTTATTTAATAAAGCGGCTGGAGAAAGAAATGATAGAGTGGAGATGGGGCAAGCTAGGGATTCTTGGAGGGACGTTTTACCTCTTGAGAGGGAGAGGGAGAGGGAGGGATTGCAGTGTCAATCTTGGAGTGTTGCTAAAGCTATAAAAATTAGAAAGGATGTGTCTACACAGCCATATATACGAACGTTCCAACGAACAAATATGGGATAGTACACCAACTCCTTTTCAAATTTTTTTTCATACATTCATTTCTTTACTTAGACTTCATATGTGAAGCAAGGAATCACTTCTTCTCTATCTTTCTCTTTAAGATGATCTGAATCATCTTTAATTGAATCAAATTTTGGGAATGCACATATATGAAGGGTATATTGAGTTTTGAGGAACCAATGAGTTTTGAGGAACCAATGAGTTTTGAGGAACCAACGAGGGGTTGGATCAAGTGGTTCACAGCTTATTCCAGCTTAAATAAGATCTTGAATTCGAAACTTTGTGTACGCAACAGTTTTTGTTGGGAGATTCAACCCACCATCGGGTGCGCCAATCGGGTTGGTCCGGATTAGTCGGGACGAAGCCCTGAATACTGAGCGGGAAACCAAAAAAAAAAAAAGAGTTTTGAGGAAAGGATTATATTCCAAGTAATAACAGTTAATTGGGTACATAGATGTTGTAGCAATTTATTGATGTATTTCAAAGAGTTAATATTGACCGACTATAAAAATTAGGTTTATCTATCCAATTAACTTAATTACTCCCTTTGGGTTTGTTTGGTTTGTAAAAAATGATTTCATTTGAAAAACATTTTAAGGAAACTATTTTTCATTGTTTGATAAGTTATGGAAAATCTTCAATTTTTAAAAATATTACTCAATTAACAATTAAAATTTTAAACTAAACATTAAAGAATAATCATACACACCTCTATCATTTTTAAATTATCTACCATACTATTAAAATAAAAATTTAAAAACCAATTTCCTGTAGAAAATTTTTTAATTTTTTTTTATTGTTTGATAAATAATGAAAAACTTTCAAATTGAGTGTTTTTGGGTGGAGATTATTTTTGAATAGGTTAGCTACAAAAAATAATTTATGTCGGAGAGGGATTGTTTTATCAAGGGGGAGTGTTGGTTGTGGCCTTTGCTATGAGGGAGTAGAGCAACTTCAGCATATTTTTTGTGAATGTAAAGGAGTTTGGTTGGTATGGATGAAGGTTTTGGGATGGTAGGGTTTGCAGATTGTTTTACTAAAAGATGTCTTTGGTTTGGTGGAGTCTGTGGTGTATGGAATAAGTGGGGGGAGATCTAATGGATTTAGGGGCTCTTATTTTTTTGGTTACTGCTTGGTTTGTTTGGCTTTGGAGAAATCTAAAAGTGTTTAGGATAGATGTAATGTCTGAAGAGAGGATATTAGAATCTATTCAGTCTAAATCTTTTTTATGACTTAAAAGTAAAGAACAAGGTTGTTGTTTCTCTTATACAGATTGGATCTTACGACCTTTGGAGTGCAAGAATGCTATCGTTCAACATGGCAGAAATTTCAAGAGTTATAATAAGCTACAACGAGCTATGAACCAGGGGGGTATATGAGGATGGAGTTTTGGTCAAGTGTGCTGTTTTTCTGCTATTGGAATTAATTGCTGGAGATGAGTAATAGGCTGCTGCAATGGGATTTCTCTCGTAGTAGTATTCTGTTTCCTTTAAGGGTGTTTTTCAGTTTTTTGGACTTATGTTTTGTTAGTTAATTGCTAGTAGGGACTGTGTTGGTTTTATCTCCTATTTATTTTTGTAAATGGGCAGGAGTAGCCCTTGTGTCCCATTTAATAAATTTTCATTTTTCTGGTAAAAAAAAAAAAGTAATGAAAAACTTTTAATTTTTTCTGCAGAAAATTGGGAGTTCATTCCCAAAACGCAGAATTTTCCCAAATGTTTCTTTTTTTTTGGTCAGCCAGAATTTTCCCCAATGTTGAATGCAGAAAATTTTATGGTTAGATGCCCCCACCTGGATTCTAATTAGAAATAAAAACTTGGATGACTTCTATCATAGCGACCAATAATGAATATGTAGACAAGCAATAGGACTTATTTGCAAAGTATATAAAATTCAAAAGACTTGATTCAACAAAATTTCTCAATCATGGCAAAACATGAAATTTCATTGATGGAAACTTCGGGCCGGCGTTGTTGCGGGGATTGGCCTCCGGATTTCAAATCCAGAAGTTGATTTAGTTTAATTAGATTTCCCATTGGCTAAAGGTCTTTTCAATTGATTTATTTTCTAAGAAGATTCTAAATATCAAAAAATGAAGAAAATATTTTGTAATAAATTATTTCTCGTGAACCAGACGGACCTTTTGTTTCTGTATACTTATTTTTATCACTGTAATTTCATTTGAACACCAATTATTAAAATGAATATATATATATAAGGAAGTGTTCCAACTTTTACCTTAGTATATATAAGGTGCACATTGACTTCAAAAAACCACATAGAAGTGCAACTTAATCACTTTGCATCAGCCAATCACCTTACCTTTTGCACCTGTCAAAAATTTTCAGACACACCTTCGGGCCATCCCAATCTTTGCAAAAGAGCATATACCAACCTTTCAATCTACCCACTAAACCAATAGAAGGAACGAAGTTGTACCAATTCAAATTAATTTATCAGCAGAAGCAAACTGATTGGAGGGGCTGACTCGAAGGGCTGTGTGAAATGTTTGATGGGTGCAAAATAGTTCTCTCATTATAACTAACTCTTTTCATTTCAAATGATGTGTTATATATTATAACTACATTAATTATTTATTTAATTTCTTATTTTACTCTTTCCTCCCTAATTAATTAACTTTAAACTTCTTTTTGTATTTTATTTTAATGGATATTGTTGGGAGAAAGTCCAATCCCATGTGAACACATGGGCTTTCCATGGTGAAATTTCTTCACCAATCTAGCTAGTTGTGGGTTAAGATTGCTTTGTTGAAATCATGCAAGTTTGTGTTGACCCATTCAATGAGCAAGAAAAATCATGCATGCAAAGGCAATGGGCAAGCAAGAGTGGGGAAAAGCAAGAGGAATTGAGTGAGAGCTCTTATAAGAGAAAAGAAAGAGAGAAATTGTGAGAAAATCTTTGTGTAAATTAAGAGAGACTATTAGGAAGAATTTAAGAATTTCTATGCATTGAAGATAGGGTATTAAAAGCTTCTTAAGTGAGAGAATTTATAAATTATTTACTCTTTTTCTTAATAGTGAATTTGTTTTTTTTTTTTTTTTCGTGGACGTAAACTTATTGAGAGTTGTATAAGTTGAATAACTTTAAATTGTTGTCTCAATATCTTTATTGCTTCCGTTTGCATAATATTGTGGTGTTCGAAATTCCCAACATATATTCTTTTTGCGACAACAATGCACTGTGTGCACACATGAACGGGCGCATCCTCACCACGTCTCCGAAATTGGTTGAAAAAAAAAAAAATCTTCCAACGAATGTAAGGCTATATATGCTTTTCATGGCACAATTAGTAAATTTAATGTTTTTAGCAGAAAATAATAAATACTTTCATCTGTGTCATTTGCAACGTATTAACAGGAAATTAATATGAAGAAAACCTACTTTTTCTACAACAAGTTAATTGTATCTTTTTTATTTTCCTTTTTCTATTTTTTTATCCGCAAGAAAATATATGCGTTTTGCTTTAGGCTCGCGAATATATATGCGATAGATCACATCACCCTACACAAGAATTTCCATATGAAAATCTTCTCCATTTCCATGATTTGGATGCATTTATTCACTTAATTAGCATAGATAATAATTAATTAAAAACCAATAATATATAATTATATCTATTTTGTGAAAAATTGAATATGTGAATTTCAATATAAGATTTGCATACAATCTATAATCAATTGATAATAAATAGAGTAGACTCACATACATATACATATATACTTTTTTGTTATATTGTCGATGTGAAATTTTTTCACTCAACACATCACTTCACATATAGACTCAGTATGAATATCAGATCTTATTATATGGTTTAATACACTCCTTACATATAGAGGGCCAATATGAACTTTAGATTCTGTATATGGCTTGATACACCTCTTTACATGTTAGCTCAATATAAATTTTAGATTCTATTGAGTGGTGGATTTTTTAAAAACGAAACTTGAATCCTGATATGATATGAAGATAAGGTATGTGAATTTCAACACAAAATTTATATTTAACCTAAAATCAATTTGCAAAAGGTAAAGTGACCTTCATAATAACTAACTCACATATTTCTTTATTATATTTTTGATAAAGGATTTTCCACTCAACATATCTTATGTGGCTTTGATCTATTGGTTAATTTAATTAACAATCTGGCACAATTGCATAGGTTGGAAAGAACAAACGGCTCCAGATGATAAATTCCTGAAGTAAATTACTTGTCTCAGCCGACATGACACGTTCTGGATAATGTTTTTGGTGTGTTGAGCTTCTCAGAGAAGCCACGCAACATGAAAACTTATGCATTAAGTTTCAGGAGGAGAAGATTATTAATTAACCCTAAACGTACGGGTTAGGGTTTGAAGACCCTTTCAAGGTTTGGACAAAAAGCTGTTTTGTTTCTTGGCTTCCTTCTTCCATGTCTTCTTCCGATCAACTTTTACGGCTGCTTCTGCGCTGTACGCTTGCAACGAGATATCGACATATACACATTCTGATGTTCATACGTATGGAGAGAATAAATTAAATAGATTATCCAATGGGATCAACAGACTTTTTTGAAATGCTGTCCTTCCAATTTTTTGAGTAAAGGCGTCGGTCGTGCAATGAGTAACGACGTCGTACTCAAGAGCAATGGTTCACAAATGTTTCATATGATTTAGTGTTGAAAGGGTTTGATGATCAAGTATGGAAAAACTGAATAAAAGGGGGGGACCGGTTTTTGAAAACTGAAAACGAAAATCAATTAGACAATGAGTTTTTCTGTTTAATTGAAAATGCCAAATCCATTATTATTATTATTATTATTTTGGCCATCCATTGTTTATTATTATTGTGAAAGAATCCTTATGGAATTGGAACCATCAAGATAATTAATGAGAAAGAAGAAACCATTAACATCGTCTCCCAAGTAACTTTTAATGAAAATATGTTGCTCTCCGCATGTTTTCCAGTAATTAAAGATTTGAAGTTTATAATAGATGGGAGAAATTGGGAGAAGGAATGATTATTATCTCTGATTTATTTTACTTATCATATTGTTATTAGAAAAAATACATATTAGTCTCTCAAATTTTAAAATAAATTAAAATTTTAATATTAAATTAAATTATTTTATTTAATTAAAATTTAATTCAAAATTTAAAATTTTATTTTATTACATGTTAATATTTAGATTTGAAAATTGATTGTGTTAGAATTTATAATCGAAATCTAAATTTAGATATCAACATTTAATAGGGTAAAATTCTAAATTTTAAATTGAAATTTTATTTCTAAATATAGATTGTGACTTTAATTTTTTTTAAAGTCAAGATTGATAAATGTTAATATCTTTTTATTAAAGAAAATTACAAAAATTTATAAAAGCAAATTATTATTAATAAAAATTTTATATTTAGATAAAGATAGAGTTGCAAAATTAATAATTTGTTGATCCAAATGAAAAGATCTCAATTTCTTTTAAATAAAATTTCGAATTCGAATATTGTGAATGAAAAAATAAAGCTAGAAAGCTTTTCCCTTATGGGGTTCGACGTGACTTGATTTCGAATTAATTGAAACCCAATATGATTATCATATACTGAACTTAATAAAAAAAAATAGATAGAGTTGCAAAAATTCCATCAATTTATTTAAAAAAATAATAAAAAGGAAAGATGTAGCGATAAAAAGAAAAGAAAACTAGTTTCAAACCCTATGACCGGCAAAATAAATGGACCAAGCCCATTTATACCATTGAGCCCAAGCTTAAAATGGAGTTTGGAAGGGGCCCTCGACAGTCCTTTAGCTCAAAATTGATTAGTACCATGCGTCAAATCCTTAACCACCGATGAATAACATATCCCTGTGATTAATGATTAATTATAAGCAACAATTCAAGATTGGATGCAAGTCACGCAATTAAGATTGCTTGTGGAGAGCCAACCGGGCCTGTGGCCCAATTGGTTGGCCCCCAAGCTTTAAGGCTTGGGTGAGGCGGAGGTCAGGGCTTCGAACTCTGCCACCGCCGTGAACTCCACCAACTTGCGACCTAATGGTCGCGCGCCTCAAATGAGGGGATGGAACATTCACTTTCCTGGAAAAATTCCAGCTGCTAACAAACTAACTCTACTAACTTCCTAACCATCTACCTGCTAAAAAAAAAAAAAGATTGCTTGTGGAGATACTAGTTTTGAAGTACGCAAATTGATCCAAAATGATCCTAATAGTTTAAAAATAAAATAATAAATATTTTACCGTTTAAATTATATAAGATTTTACAATTTAAATTATAAAATAAAATAAATTCCTTAATATTAGAGATTATTTTGTTATTATTATTATTATTTTTTATTTTATAATTCAACATAATTTAGACAACAAATCTATTTTTTTTAAAGTTAAATCTTTAATTTGATCTTTAAACTATTGTACAAACCCCTAATTTGGTCTCTAAACTAAAAAAATTCATAATTTGGTCCTTAAACTATTGTACGGACCCCAAGTTGGTCCGTACTATTTACCAATTTACCCCAAGTTGGTCATTTCGTACAAAAACCAATTGACGTGTCTTGTTATTAACGTGACACATGCTTGTTAAGTTACTAGTTTTCGTCGTTAAATTATTGTTTTTTGCTGTTAAATAATAGACATGTCAGTTTTTTTTGTACGAAAGCACCAATTTGGGATAAATTGGTAAACAGTATGGATCAAATTGGGGTCCATATAATAGTTTAGGGACCAAATCAAGGGTTTTTTTAGTTCATGAACCAAATTGAAGGTTCATATAATAATTTAGGGATCAAATTAAAAGTTTAACCTATTTTTTATTTTTAAAAAAAGAAAAGTCAGAACGTCTTTGACGAGCACATACAATTATCCGGTGGCGAAAATACTTGATGATTCCAAACAGCACCCCATTTTGTCTAAAGCTAGCTTGGTCCAACAAGCTAGCAAGTAGCAGCAACCCATTTTGTGAATACATTGAATTTTACAACATCTTATTTATTAAAATATTCAAAGAAGGATTCAGTTTCAATTCAGACTACGTAGTGATCATGAACAAATTCCACAAATTAAGTTACATTACATGACATTTAATTAAAAGGGAAAAAACTCCACACACCTGTTGCTACAACAGACGAAACATGCAGAATCTATTAAAGATACCTAAGGAAATTATTAAAGTAAAAGCTCATTAATTTTCTAATCCATATCATAAAGTTGGTCTAGTTGTTAAATAAAAAAAACAAAAATAAAGCTCCTAATCATATATTACTACTACTAATTAATCAATGATTTGGAGACAGAAAATGAGTCAAATAGTGCAGCCAGGACAATAGAAAAGATAAGAAGAAAAGAAGTTGTAATGTGCCAAAATCAAAAAGAGATGTGAACAGAATAAGGGGTCCTTGTTTGAAAAGAAATGAAATGAAAGGGCAAAAGAGAAGGGGTCCCTTTCACAACTTCTGGATCCCTTATCCTACACGGAAACAGGGAAAGAATAATAAAAATTCAACGCCAGTCCACCGCCCCAACACCTTCTCTCTCTCAAATTATCTTCCAAACATTTCCCCCACAAAAGAATTCATCACCGCCTAAGGACACGTGTGGTGGGGTTTTCATACTGACGTTGATCTAACATATAAGCTTTGTTTGATAATGTTGTATCTGTAATTATATATATAATTGATTTTGTAATTAGATTTAATTATTTTAATTTAACTTTTAGATAATATTTAATTAAATAATTTATTGTAGTCAATAAATAATAATTATTTTTTATACAGAATTTTCATTAATGAATATTTTTACTTAAATAAACAAATTTTCAATTATTATTTATTTGTTACCTAAATATTATTAAGTTAATTTATATAAAATTAATGGACGTAACAACTAAAAAAAGATGAAAGGAGGATTATTTTATATATATATAATATTAATAAAAAATATTAATTTTACTTTAAAATTAATATTTATCAATTAGATTTATAAAAAAATAAGTAGAAAAATACTCAAAATCACACTATTTTAATAAAATATCAAAAGAAAAAATTAAAACAACTTTATTTATGTTTTAAAAATTGAGATGTTTCAATATTTTTTAATAAAAATTAATTAAAATAACATAATTTTATAATATTTTTTCGCTTAACATTTTATAAATACGAAACAGACAAACATTTTTTTCCATTTATCTTTTTGGATAAGCTTTTGTCTAAAAAGATATGTAAGAAGCAATGTCTAACAACACCTTAATTTCTAAAATGAGTTTTTTTATATCTGAGTTGCTATTTGTTGTCTTTGATAATACTATTAACCAAATTTTTTCTTTAAAACTCTTAAAAATCTGTTTAAGAAAAAAAGAAGAAGAACATTTATACATTTACACAACGTACAATAGTTTAATTACAAAATCAACCTTACAAAATTTAAAGTCGCAGGTCAGAGAGGTTCCAATCTCCAAAAGAAGGCACAACTGCCTAGTTGCTCCAACAACCTCTTTTTTGACCCAATAATTGAATTTGCATTCAAAATCGATGCCAAAACTGAAAAATTTTGGCCCAATGAAACGATCAGCTACATACCTCAATTTCCATACTGTTCAATATCGCAGATATTTGAGAAATTGTAGGCCTGTCCTTTCTACTATTACCAACACAAGCTGATGCAACTTTAGCCAATCTAGCAAGAGGCTTAATTTCACAAGGAATCACAAGTCTAGGATCCAAAACTTCATTAAACCTCATTTCCTTAATCAAAGGCAATGCCCATTTCACAAGCCACCCTTCTTCACTTCTCCTCCCACTCAATAGCTCCAACAAAACCACACCAAACCCATAAATATCACTTTCCTTGGAAGCGCCGCCACCGCAACCACCGCCGTTTCCAACCCAATACTCATCATCTACATACCCCACCAACCCTCTCTTCTCTTGGGGTGCCAAGAAAGATAACCCATAATCACATAATTTTGCACAAAATTTCACATCTAATAATATATTTGAAGCCTTAACACACCCGTGTACAATATTTGGTGCCACCCCTTCATGTAAATAATAAAGTCCTCTAGCCACCCCCGCCGCTACCCTGAACCGCCGGCTCCAGTCCAATAGAGACGCTCCGTCGGAGTTTTCATGTAAGTAGAAATCCAAACTCACCATCCCAACAAATTCCATGATTATAATTCTCTCCCCCGGAGCTTGTGCAAATCCTAAGATGGGGACTACATGGGGGTGTTGGGCCAACGACAGCGTTTTGATCACCGATGGAAACCCGAATCCAGCATTGCTCAAAACAAGCCGTGGATGAATCCTTTTCACCGCGGCTAGCTCAGCTGTTGCCAGAACCGCCGCGTAGACTGTCCCCAAGCGGCCTTTTCCGATGATTCGTCGCTGGTTAAAACCGTCCGTTGCTGCATCTATGTCGATTAATTGGTACGCCGGTGCACATATTTTGGTGGGTATCGTCTGATCAGATTGATGAATTGGTTTTCTTCTCCAAATGATGACGAAAAAAATACCAAGAATGATGATGGCTACTAAAAGAAGAGATATCACAAAATCAAAAGCAATATCCTGAATTTTGTTCATGGTTGTGAATTTTGATCCTAAGGGTGGACAGGAGGAGGAAGAGGAGGAGATGGAGAGTTTGGAATGTCCATGGAAGGAACGTGTGGTAAAGTGTTATATATCGAAGTAGTAGTGAGGGGACTTTGGAAAGTGTTTAAATTGAAAAGTGGGAGAAAAAGAAAGGGTCTCATATAATCTGCCTGAGTGGGTGATGCAAGTAATTTGAAAAATGGGTTACATTTGGTAAGAAAGTTGGTGTTCTGCTTCTACCTCTTGTGTTTAGTGACGTTGGTTGGTGTCTGGCCGCCTCTCATAACCTTGTGCTAGTGCTTTTTTCAAAATGAAAAATGCTAAGGTCACAAGGTAGCTGTACGTTACCTGTTAGGAAAAAGGATTAATTGTAGTTTGGATACCAACGTATCATATGTATATATATAATATTATTTTGTCCTCTAAACTTCACTAAATTACAAAATAAAGAAGGTTGAATAGAAGGAAAACCTCCAATATATTAAAAGATCTATCTTTTATGTTATAATTATAATTATTTCTCCGAACTACATAACAATTTTTCATATATATATATAGCAAAGACATGCCATCAGCTCTAGTTGCTCTATACATGCATTCTTGATATTTACTTCCTCTATTTTAATTTAAATGTCCTTATAAAAATACATTTTTATTTATTTATTTTGGCTTGAAAGATTTTTACCGGTATAACTCAAAATAAAAATATAAATAGTTAAAAAAGTTCAAAGCACACTAACTAATTAAACCAATCTTTGTGAACATAAATGGCATATACCTTAGTTTGAATATATTGGGCTAATTAATGTTCATTCTTGGGTTAGCAGTTGTTGATGATGGATTTGGCTTCCGTAAATTCTGCAAATTAACAAATACTACCATATACCTTGGCGTGGCAGGACATTAAGATGATAAAGTACTTTCCTTTTTAATTTTGGAACATTCACTGTTTGGTTTACTGATAAAGAACGGTTCTCAATTAGTTCTACCACTTTATGAATTAAAAACTGGTTACAAATTAATTA